CATTATCAGACTAATAATTTTCAAATAAAAACTCACATTGAAGGCGATAAAGTGGAACTAAATTTAAATAACAAAACTATTAATGACGAAAAAATGTGGATAATTACAGGAAATTGAAAATAAGAGAATCACAAGAAATGATAAAAATAGATTTACCTCTCATTCAAAAGATAAGCAAGGGTGGTTTTTAAGATTAAAATGAGGAAAAAAATCAAGCAGATGAATATTAATGATGCTTATGAAAAAGAAAAAAGAACTATAAAATTTATAGTTCCTTTTATCTACTGAGCTTGTTAACTATTCAATGATGTCCATTTGGATATTTAAGTGGCTAGTGGAAGCTTGGGAGGTAAGGTCAAAATCTAAATTCTAAAGCCTCTGGAATTTCATTAGTTGAGAGTACCATTGCCTAAAAAGGAGACAGCTTACACAAATAATCTAATCAAGGATAATAAGGATGGATTGGATAAGCGTGGGTGTTCTAATGCATAACATTCATCGATTCTCTAGTTAATTGCCTGCTTAGGATAGTGTCAGTATTCATTGCTATTCACAATACTAGGGAAAAAATATTTGAATTGCTAGATAATTTTATGGAGTGAACTGTAGAGAGGAATGTTGTCCAAGTGATATCTAACAAGGGAAGTAACTGTTTAATTGGTTACTTTCATTCTATGAAGGAGCTTTGTGGTTGGCTAAAAAAGGAATGCGGTGTAAAAGGAATATTTTGATGTTGTTTGGATGAGTGTAAAATGAATGCATGAGATTACTTTTTTTCTTTGGTTTAAAGTAAAATAAATACAGTTTAAAGTCCGAAGAGGGTGATGGTTAGTGGCTAATAGTGGCGGTGGTGGCTGTTTGATGTGATGCAAACATACGAAAACAAGAATTGCACTTTAGAGATTAATAAGAGATTATTAACTTCGCAATGTTAACAATAAAGTCTAGCTTATTCAAGTAGAGTTCAAGAAAAATCATGATAGATTAAACCATGGTAATTGATTACAATTGAGGATTGCTAGAGCCTTGCCAAATAATAACCAAAAGAAAGTCAAATAATGCAAATAGCTATGATAAACAAAAGCCTCACGTTTAAAATATAGATCCTTCACCTTGACGTCCTTCACTCGCTCTTGATAGTGGTGGTTAGCGGAAGAGGATCGTAAGTAGACTCAGCAATGCCACTAGAAGACAGGTGATGCCGAGAGGGCTCGTCGCCGGGGAAGAAGCCGGAGTTGGAGGAGCGGGTGGATGGCCGTCGATGGTCCACTCGTAGTCCGGAATTTGACCGTCGATGACGGGCACAAGGATGGGGAGAATTCGATCCAAGTAATCTCCAATGGTGTTTTCGTGTTCAAAACCCACGTCAAACAATGGAGATCGTATAATGTTAATATTACCGTAGGCGTCGAACACAAGTCCCCATTCGAGTTCGGGATCCGCCATGCAACATGGAAGTGAAGATGAGCGGTCACCACAAGAAATTCCAAGAGGGAAAGTGGTCAGCTAGGGTGGAGAGGCCAATAGGAAAAGCAAAGATTACCAAATATGAAATAATGTCAGATTTTTGAAATTGGAGGGACTTGGTTGGAAAAACCAAGTCAATTCCGGAGAGGAGCTCGGGTAGGAGAGCAAGACTTAAGAAAAATTTCAGATTTCTGAAACTGAATTCTAATGAGGAGAAGTGGGGGAGGGAGCTAATTTGAAAATCAAATTAATTTCCAAAGGAGGGGGCCGGCGGTTAGTGAGGGATTAGGAGAGTTAATGGGAGGCAATTAATGTAATTGGAGAGAGAAGAAAAAACCAAGGAGAGGGGCCGGCCAAGCATAGAGAGGGAGAAGAATATTTAACTTAAATAGGTGGGGCCCACATGGCTAACAAAGGTTTAAATAAAAAACTGAAATATATTTCAAGTTTTTAAAATAGGGAAGTTTCCTAAGAGGGTATTAATTAAGACTAATTTGAATTCAAATTCAAATTGAAATCTAATTAATTTGGAGACCTCAAATTAAGGAACTAAATTAGGAAAGTAGAAGGGCTTCATGAAAACTGACATTTGAATTCCGGATTCAATGGGGGAAGTCGGCGGCAAGACTGAGAGGCTGCACGGGTTGGGCGGCCGGGCCTCTTGGCCGGTGGGGAGGTGCAGCCAGCGGGCAGCAGGCGTCCAGCTGGGAAGGGGCGGCGGGATTGGAGGTTTGGGGAGAGGATTGTGAGGGGAAATCCAAGGGAAAGAAGATCACGGTCTTGGGTAGAGAATGGGAGAATTTGAAGCTCTCGAACCACAAGTTTTTCTCCACTAGAACTCACGAAGAGATCTAAACCAATCTCTCCTCAAGAACTCACCAAGAGATCAAAAGGAGATTGGGAACTCACAAAGAGAACAACGAAATAAAATTTTCATTTATCAAAAAACTGAAATTACAATGCTTGAGGCCTCATATAAATAGGCCAAAATGAAAAACAAGAAATGACGCAAATGCCCTTCCGGGCTATATAAGCAACTCAATGCCCATAGGGGCAAACTAGGAAACAGGAAATACAATCATAAAATAAAATGCAAATAAATCAGAAGTAGAGGCTCTGGATCGTAGCCGTCGATCTGCATCTCCGTCGATGGTACACATGTCGAAATCTGATGTCCTCATCACTGTTGATGAATATTGGGAAGATCCTCAAAATGAAGAAGACTAAAAAAAGTAATTTGACAAAGTAGATTTCTCTACGATCATACCAATATGCATTAAATATGATGGCAAAGTTTACCAAAAAGAAAATGTTGATTAAGTGTAGAGTCTATGAATATAAGAGTGCTCTTAAAAATGCATTTGCATCAGTGAAATGGATGAGTGGATGCGCTAAGGACAATAAAAGGAAATGGACAATATGGAGATTACTCTTTCCAACAAGCTTACCACTTTAAAGGAAACCGACTATGCATTACTACTACTTCACTCCATCAATATCGCATCACAGTATGCCATAGTGGTGATCTCGTGGCACATACCAGTAGGGACAAAAATTTACATCTAGTGCATCTTTTGGCCGAAATTACGATGGGACATCTGTTGATTTCTGAAGAAACGTACAATTGGCCACTAGTTTAAAGGGGTCAGCCAAAAATAACGAGATATGTACTCTTCCCATTACAAATTTGATCTAGGAAGATTTGAGCATCGACTTTGTGTTGGGGTTCCCACAAACCAAACATGGTGTGGACCCCATTATGAGCGTCATCGACTATTTCTCCAAGATGATCCACATCACAACTTGCTAGAAACGGTGAATGCGGCCAACCTATTTTTCAAGAAAATTATATTCCTCCACTCCCTCATAGTTTAACATCCAATTGGGATGTCAAATTGATCAGTTTTTTTTAATAGAACTTTGGAAGCGACTTCAAATCTAAATAGGTATAACTAACCATCCACAAAGGATTTAGTTGAACTTCCCAAGCCCAAGAGAAACAATGTCGCCAAGATGGCTAACTCGTCTTGATAATATGTTGCAGGATGTAAGAAAAAAATTAACTGAGAGTACTCAAAGCTACAAACAAGTAAAAGACCAAAGAATACCGGAGATCAAAGACATTTAAAGTGGTGACCTAGTTATGCAAAGAAAGATTCCTTGTCAGATCGTTCCCCCATGTTAGGCATATTAACAACACCTACACTATGTTGCTACCTCCAGATATGAACTTGTCTTGCACACTCAACATTTATAATATCTACACTGATCACCCTCTTGACAATAGACAAACAAACTTACAAACTAAATTTCGAGTTCTTCTGGGTAAGGGATATGATGCAACAGCTCATACCATGACTCTTATATTAGTATTTTCATAATGTATACTTTGGTATTTATTAATTGTGTATAACAAAATTAGCATAGTGATTTTTAGTTGCTTTCGGTTGAAAGGAAGGGGAGGAATATATTTCCTCCCAAAAAAGTGGTGGTCTAGAATTATCCACAGTTTCAAAAAAATTATTACTGCTAGTGAAAAGCACATTTTCGTTTCTTCCTCCATATCCGTACCCTCCTAATTTCTACACGAGAAGTCATGCTCTTTTATCTTAAAAAGCATATTATGTCAACCCCTCCATAGTTGACAATGGCTCTTAGCTGATAAAATCAGGAAAGTTTGCCCCTCACAGAAAATCAAATGTTCATGTTGACCATTTTACAAAAGAACACATGATACTTTCAAGTTCTCAATCTTTGAGATTTCAATACAGCCATAATGCAAATAAGAATATCATATCTCATATTGAATACAAATTTACAAAATGCCAAATAGGACTGAAACCCAATTAATATGCATGACTTTAGAAATTCTGATATCAAAATTCACGTATAGTATCACATTGGGGAAGAAAACACACTAAAAAGGACAAAAATAAAAGTGAACTATCTTAACAATATCCAAATTAATTTTATGAAAGTTTAGATTCAATCACTTAAGGATGAATGGAAATTTAATATATATATATATAAAAATTATTAATATATATATATATATATATATATCCAAAAACCAAGGTTTTTAAAACTTCCCTATTTAACAAACTAATACCAAGGTTTTTAAAATGATCTATAAAATCTATGTATTTGCATGTGCTATGATAATACCATTGAGAATTTAATGAAAATCACAAATACAAGTATATAAATGAGGAGAGGAAGATAATCTTCAAGATAAACAAATAAAGTAATATGACTATCAAAGTATGTGAGAATAATTTGGGGCTAGCACAAGACTACTCAGCTAACTTTAGTTCAGAGGTAGGTAAGCGGCTGTCATGATATCTAAAAAGCTTTAGTTAATCTTAAGTCAGTTAACTACACTAAGTAAAATATATCCTTCAAGCAACTGGATAATTTCCTTGATATTTGGTAACTATTGAAGTAAAGGCATAGATAAGCAAAAGTTAGACAAAAGATCACAGGTTATTCCCAGATTTAAAAAATTTCCAAAGATTAATTATATGTGCAAGTACCTGTGCGAGAAACTCTTGTTCAACCTCCTTGCCTGCTGCAGCTTCCTGCTCTGCTGCCAGTTTCCATCTAGCAATTTCTTCCTCAGCAGCTGCAATGTCTGTCATGAGACCTTCAACCTTTATCATAAAAGGGATTATTTAGTTAGCAGCTCCTAACAAATATTTCCTATAAAATATATGACTATTAGAACTTAGGATTAAATGATGTTATTGGAAAAAAATAATCAGATTGCATAAGGAAGGAGTATTAATTTTTATTACACTTTCATTTGCCATATGCTCCTTCTCCTCAAGTTCCTTTATTTGCAGCATTAACTGGCCAATCTCTTTTGCTTGAGCATCTAAGTGTGCCTTAAGAAGACTAGACTCTGCCCTTAATCCAGTAAAAGTCGTACAAAAACAAGAAATATAATTAGCAAAGCAACAGAACTCATTTCAGCAAATTGTCAAACTTGTAAGCTCGTAAGTTGGACCATCTTCAACTTGTGAATGGAAAAGATTTCTTCCTCTTTGATATTGCATCATTAAAGTAGGCTTTCAAATAAGCTTAAATAAAATTTACAAAACATCAGTTCAATAAAGGAAAACAGATAGTTTCCTGCACAAAAAATGTGAGGAGGCCTAAAATATTAAAACTTGTAAAATGCAAATGTAAAGCAACCCAGAAATATATGCCACTAAACAAGCCTAGCCATTAAGCAATTTCTATTACTATTCACTTTAGTTAGCTCAAGGAAAACAGCTTTTCAAGCATCCAAAGTGTAAAAAAGAAGAAATACTATCAGAATAGCATAATCTACTTTTAAAAGACAATTAAAGTGCCAAAAATGCAAACCAGCAATCATTTTTCATCCCTTTGATGTTAACCATCCCTAAAAACAAAAACAAAAAAAAAACTCAAATTAATTAATCACCCAAAAGGCCTGAACTGGTGGATGGGGTAATATGGCATGTAGGTTTCTCCAGGCTTTTCATAAAAAGAAAAAAAAGGGCAGTTAGATGGCCATAATCAGAGAAGCAGTTGGATTTTTTAATAAGCTAGTGAAGCAGTTACATTATTTTTATTCTATAAATTAGAGGAAAGTAATCAACATTTTATGATAGAAAAGTTTCTTAATACATAGTTGAAACATTAATTATTAAAAACTTAGAAAAAATAGTGTAAATGATAATCTGAAGATTGAGAAGGCACATAAAAGTAACTGTTCTGTGGAAAAACTGAATAATAATTTAGGTGATGAGAATATGAAAGAACATTAGCCAGTATTAGAAACAAAATGCTTTAGCATAGTTATAACAACTCGCTTAGTGCGCTTAATCAAAGTTGAACACGTGTCAAAGTAATTCTGATTTTGGGGTTGGCTAGTCTATGATGCACCGGATTGTGTGCTTATGTGAGCCGGCGGCATAACATACCACCATAACAAACTACTGCAGTATCCACTACTTTATTTTCTGTTTTTAGTATGGCTCAATTGCTTACAGCTTTTCAGTAGTTACATTAATATAGCTAGAGTACAAATGCAAGAGATACAAATAGGAGAAGAAAAAGAGAAACTGTAGCTTTTTATCTTCATCTTTACAATAGCTATACAAAGAGAATACAGAGGTATTCTTCTCCCTATTCTTGTTTGCTTGTTTGCTGTCTTTTGGCTTATTGTTTTCCAGGTACCTCGATCCTGCAGAAGGACATCAGTCTAGCAACACCAGTCAACATAATTTAAATGTCAAAAAGAAGATTCACAGTGCCAACCCAAATCAACCTCGTAGAGTTACTCATGACCTATCGGCCAGTCTCGAGGTTCTCTGATTAGCTTTCAACCCAAACCAATCAAATCATCTGCAAGCAACCAACAAAAAAATGCATCATTTTAGCCTAAACTATCTCTTTATATCCTAACAAACCTGTAACCATCATTACCTGATCCAATTGCTCAAGATATGCCATATGGCCACTTCCTATACAAAAAAAACTAAATGTCGGGGCTATCCTATGCCGTGTAACAATGGCTCTCTACCATGTCTCCACATCGCTCACAGAGAAGAATTGTTAGTCATTCGATAATTTGATGGTATTAATTGATCTTGTTCAAGCTCGTCATGTGGACCAAATTCTTTGACACTATCAAAGTCAGTCGCTCATGGCCATCAACTCATTCTCCACCTCAAACAAAATTCCAACTACAAATAAATCCTCCTTGGTGTAACAATCCAAACTCTTAACTATCGAGATATTGTCTGCTTTGACATAAAAGCCTCACGGTTTTGTCCTATTGATGTAACTTCTCAGTAGGTCAACCATCCAAAAATTGTTTCAGGATGAGCACGCTTAACTGCGGAGTTCCTTAATGAAAATCTAGCCATTACACCAAAAGCGCCTCGATGTTTAAGAGTTAACTTTCTTTTGCTCAAGGGGTTTCATAATCTCCCCCACTTAAGTAAATGACGTCCTCGTCATCATCTTTATCCCATAATCATCCACCAAGCAGATAGGACTCTAGAGATGACCCCAACAAATTCAAGTGGTGGCTCCCATCATGTAGCACTTTGTTCCATACAGGGTTCAAGAGGTGTCTCCCATGGCATAGCACTTTGTCTTGTATGGCACTTAGCTCCCCTCTTCTGGCAAGTATATTGCTCTGATACTATTTGTAATAGTCCAAACTCTTAACTATCGAGATATTGTCCGCTTTGGCATAAAAGCCTCACAAATTTGTCCTATTGGTGTAACTTCACAGTAGGTCACCCATCCCGGAATTGCTTCGGGATGAGCACGCTTAACTGCGGAGTTCCTTAATGAAATTCCAACAATTACACCAAAAAGCGCCTCAATGTTTAAGAGTTAGCTTTCCTTTAAGGGATTTCACACTTAGCCTCTAGAAGGGATTTGTTTTAAATTTTTTTCATGGGTGAAATCTTGTATCCTTGCAGACTACAGAACTGAGAGCTTGTATCTTCTTCATTCAATATAGTGAAATCTTCTCCTACAGTGGACGTAAGCCAACAGGCCAAATCACCTAAAACTACCTAAGTCATTGTATGATGCATCCTCTTTGTTCTCTCCTGCTCCTCTAACCTTCCTGCAAGTCGGAATTTGCCCTAAATCAAAGAGCAAACCAATTTGGAGCCTCATTTTTCCCCTTCTTTCTCTTTAGTGAACCGATAATAACTCTGCTCTAATTTGACCCGTCACTTTTCCCAAACCACTTCTCACCATCCACAATGATGTTTGAATAGCTTGGACAAATGTAATTAATTTGGATAAATGAATAATTGTAAATCCAAAATGATATTGTCATAGCATGCACATGAAAACATATGGAATAATTTCCCATCTTTTTCTGTGGAGTAAATCTTTGGTTTTATCAATTATAATTTTCTTTTAATCCCTTAGACATCAATACGTATAATAGGCAAGGTTAAACTTGGTCAACTAATGTACTGATTTATGAGTTCAAAGACAATTCCTAGTTGTCTCAAATTTAACACATAATAAATTTTTAGAAAATAAGCTTTAACAACTAATGACATAAGAGTGTCTGTTATTGGTTGTTGGTTATTGTATAAATGGGACAAAAGCTGCAACAAATGAGCAATTTCAAGAAAATTCAGAGATTAAGGATTTTAATTTAAGGGTCGAGCGTAGGGAATGTTAGCATTTGCAATATAAATGGATATTCAAGCTGTGTGATAAATACCTGAGAGCTTCTACCAAATGCCTAAGTTCAACGATCTCAATTTGAGAGGTCTTGACTGTATTCTCCAGAGCACCAGCCTTCAAAAGAACGAAGGAGATCAAAGAATTTCACAGTGTGCACAGTCAAAAACTATACAAAGACAATGGTGATGAATCTTGATAGTGGATGGCAGGTATATCAAGCTAAAAAGCTATTTACCAGGGTATAGACTTCATCTTCTGCTTCCCCATAAGAACCATTCTTATCATGTCCATTAAGCTTCAAATCTATACCAGCCTCTCTGAGCCCTTCCTCTGCCACTTGTAGCACCCGATTGGTCTTGGAGGAGAGTGCACTTCTAAGCAAAGTTCCAATATGCTGCTTCTCTCCCAACAAAGCAGAAACCTTCTCCTCCCGATCTTTTACTTCCCGATTTACCTTTTCTATCCTTGACTTCACTTTCTCACAAGCAACGCTGGCTAACTCATAAATGGATACCGTGCCTTCCAAGGATGTCCGCAAATTCTGATCTACGTCCATTTCCTTCCACACGAAGGATGAATCCAATGAGTACGACTGATCTATTGAGTTTTCATCAGCAATCCTAACAATCTCATTAATCTGTTCATAGGCTTTTGATATGTGTTTCAATTGATCTATTATCACAGGCCTTTGAGCGTCCAGTTTGGTTTCCAAATTCCTCAACTTTACCGAAGAGTCATCCCCAAACTGTTTCAGTTCTGCAATCTCCCTCTCCATCTCCGAAATCCTTGAATCTCTCTCCTCAACCATCTTACCCAAAACATCAATTTCAGTGCCCTTCTTTGTTACTTCCTCCCTAAGTCCGCTGATCGTGGCCTCTAGCTGTGACATCTCAATTGCTATCTCGTAGTTCCGCTGTTCAATTTGCTCCCGCGCCTCGTCCCTCGACTTGACAGCCGCTTCAATCTGCGCAGTGAGTTCTTCCGCGATCTCGTTCGCACGCTTGATGACGCCGTAGGCCACAGCAGGCAGGCCGGTGTACTTCTGTGAGCGGGGGAGTCCTCCGACGGAGAAATTCTTGAAACCGCTGACCTTGGACGAGATCTTCTCGATGCCAGTAACCATCATCTGGGCGGCAGTCTCTATTTCCGCCCTCGAGGAATCCTTAAGCCTGAAAGCCTCTTCCTTCTGCCGTAAGGCCTCCTCCTTCTGCTTGAGCGCCTCCTGCTCCAGCCGCAAGGCCTCGTCTTTCTGCCTAAGAGCTTCGGAGAGCTCGGCGCTGACGCGTTCAGCGGATCGGGCCGACTCGTCCTTCTCGCGGAGAGCGTCATCTCGCTTTTTTATGACATCCTGGGCGAAGGCCTTCAAGCGGTTAACAGATGTCTGGAGTTCTACACGGGCATCCTCGGCGGACTTCCGCGAGCGGCGCTCCTGTTCCAATTCAGCCAGGAGATCTCGGAGGCGTTGGTCGGCGGCGGATACGTTGGAAGGGGATGCGGTTGAGGGGTCTTCGTCGTTATCGACGTCGCTAAGGACATCGTCGTCGAGGACCTCACTAGCCATAGTTGGAGGAATTCAATCTGTGATGAAAGAAATAAAAAAAAGATGATCACCCACCAACAAGGAGTGTTTGCCTCCCTTACGGTCGTTTTGGACGAGGAGATCCCACCGATGGCAGCACCGACTCCGAGCAACGGAGCAGTCGAGCATTGAAAATTTTCTTGTGTTATTTGGTAAACAGGTTATTTGAAATTATATACAAATACCCAAACCAACAAAGAAATCTCATGACATTAGGGTTAGTTACGAGAGTAGGATTAGATTTAGTTTGGGACAGTTTTATAGGATTTTTTTTTTTTAATTGGCAGAATAACAATGGTTTAAAGTTGTATCAAAAGAAGCCATAATGAAAGGATCTAAGGCACCGTGGATAGGGAGAAATTATTCTGTGAGGATATCGCAAAACGTCATTTAGAGATCAACCAAAATGCCTCATGTCAACGATACCGAGTGGCGGTACCAATCACAAGGGTGATGTGGCACATTATGGTTGGTCTCTGAACGGCGTTCGACATCCGCACATAATAATTTCCCAATGAAGAATGTTTTTATTACACGTTATGAAATAGTGAATAGCCCAGCACCTAATCAAATCCTACAACTAGATTCAAAGCACGATAAAGAAGCAGTATGCATATCATTAGTTAATTCATAATAAAAACAATCATATGATCAATAATTAGTGCAAAATAGTAAAACTCGCACGCATTAGTAGTATTATTCATAAATAGTAAAATAGTATGGTACATAAGCCAATAAAATAATATAGTGGAAAACCCAATAAACAAGTTTGGGTGTCTAATCGATAAAGTAGTTATCATATCAATATTATTATTAGTAAAGAAATCATACAAAACGATAAAGTCAAAGCATTGGTAAAGAATGACGGAATTATTTCAATGTAGTTAAAGCCTATAATAATATATGCATGATATTCAGTTATTCTATATAAGTATCAAATCATTATCTTAATTACATACTTAGTATATCACGCACTTATTATATAAACATACTCAGTATTAGTATAGTGAATCAATAATAATAACAATGACAATGAATCGATAGTAGTATTAAGCAATATCAATTTCCATAATGGTAATAGCATAAGTACAATAGCATTTGTAAAACTGGTGGCAATAATAGTAAAGCAATGCAATAATATTAAATATGTACTATGAAAGTAAATCAATATAATATAAATAAAGTCGTATAATAACAATGAATCTGTAATATGAATTTCGGTGGTCATACTTAAACAAGTAAGAAGTTTTGTCTATCACAATATTTTTCAATAATCAGTAATCATTAACTTAGTGAACAGAGTCGTCACTCTTTGCCCGTTGGCACATTCATAATTCCTTATAACTCCCATTCATTATATATTGTATATATTACGTGAATTAGTTGATGATAACACCCAACAATAGAAATTAAAGAAAAGCTCGTTGGCTCACCATCATGTATAAGTCAATCAATCTTCAACCAACGAGTCAACCAGTTATTACTTGTTTTTCACATACAAAGTTATAACAACTAACTATTATCTAATTACATATACATTTTCATTCTCAATGGTTATCTTAACATTATGCTTAAATAAAAATACCTGACTTCTATACAGTGTAAATCATACAAAATTTTTATTCCATCATGAAAGTCTATGGGCTGCGTCCACTACTCTGATGGTTAACAAACCCTGTACGGTTTTCATCACAACCGTTCTTTATCTGCTCTCATCTGAACCGTTCGGTATTTACCTAGACTCATATAAGTATGATGTAACAGAGAGCTACAGTGATCAATGGATGAATAGTAATTACTCTAGTTCTCTCCTTGTTGCCTGCTTCCTCTTTCTTGTTTGCTTGCTCACTAACTTGCAGGTTGGAAGAATCAACATGGTATCAGAGCCAAGCCAGGTTATCTAAACTCTGTCTTCTTCTTCGCTCAAGTATGGATGGAACTGCGTCTTCGTCTACTGCTTCTACCGGGACGACGACGACGACGACGGAGGTCGTCATTCCAGCCCAGTTGAAATTTCTAATGTCAAATGTGAAGACGGTTTTGAATGTACAACTCACTGCCGACAATCATCCCATTTGGCGCTCTCAAATTTATAAACTGTTTGCTGCAAACGGTTTTCTCGGTTATCTGGATGGATCTAATCCAAAACCTCCCAAAATGCTGTTACTCTCCGATGGTACCACAGCAGTTAACAATGCCTTCAATACCTGGATGCTAGTCGACCAAAATCTAGCTTCGGCATTGTTTTCAACCATTTCACCTACTCTGTTGCCGTATGTCTTGACGCTAGACACTTGTCAAGACATTTGGAATACCCTAGATCGCCGCCTACAGTCCACTAATCGATCTAGAGTTTTACAACTAAAAAATGAGTTACACCTGCTGAAATTAAAGGACAAAACTATGCTTCAATATTTATCAGATATAAAGCATCGTGTGGATGCAATTCGTGCAGCTGGTTCCAACATTGAAGATGAAGACATTGTGCTCTACACACTGAATGGACTGCCAACGTCCTACAATGCATTTAAAACTGCTATCAGAACCAAAAAGCACACTATTCATTTGGATGAACTCTATTCACTTCTATGCAGTGAAGAAGTGAATATTACGGCTGATCAAGGTATCGATCAACAATCATCCAACCCATCCGACTCTGCTTTTGCTCTTACTGCATTCCGTGGTAGAGGCAGAGGACGCTCACGAGGACGTTTGCAAAATGCTCGTGGAGGTCGTGCATCTTCCACGGGTGGTCGCCGACCTGCTGCACACATTGAATGTCAAATCTGCTTGAAACCTGGACATTCGGCTGCAAATTGCTGGCATAGAGGCAATTTCTCCTATCAAGCGAACCAGCCACAGGCGTACATTGCTCATGACGAACAACCCACCGCAGATTGGTTTTTGGACTCAGGTGCGTCTAGCCATTTGACCGCCGATGCCTCTCAATTACAGTCGTCACAGCCATACGTCGGCAGCTCTAACGTTCAGGTAGGAAGTGGACATCAACTCCCCATTACTCATTCCGGCCAAGGAATCTTGCCAACTCCCACCAGTAAGCTCATTCTACCTCACATCCTTCATGTTCCTCATTTAACACATAATCTTCTCTCAGTCCACCGTCTCACTCATGACAATTCTTGTTATGTTTTATTTCATGCAAATGGCTTCCTCATAAAGGACTCCACGACTCATCAGACTCTGCTTCAGGGATCCAGTCGTCAAGGGCTGTACCCTATTAAACTTCCCATCTCCTCAAAGCAACTCTCAACTACCAAGCCTCCCACAGCTCTTCTCAGCAATTCTACCTCTACAGGCGCATGGCATCTTCGTCTCGGTCACCCATCAACAAACACACAGAAACTTCTATCTACGTTTTGCTCTCCGACCACTTTTGTTTCTCCTTGCGATTCTTGTATTCGTGCTAAGAGTCATAGAGAGCCTTTTTCTTTATCTTTACCAAAAACTACCAAGTGTTTAGAACTTGTGCATACAGATGTATGGGGTCCCGCCCCAATTTTGTCTGTTCAGCAATTTAAATACTATTTAGTGTTTGTTGATGACTTTACAAGATATTGTTGGGTTTACCCCCTAAAATTTAAATCTGAAGTTCTTCATAACTTCTTACACTTTAAATTACTTGTGGAAAAGCAATTTCAACTTCCAATCAAAATGTTGCAATCAGACCGAGGTGGAGAGTTTGTTAACTCTCAGTTCACTAAAATGTTGCAATCATTTGGTATATTCCACCGTCTCACATGTCCGTATACCCCCCAACAAAACGGTGTCTCTGAACGGAAACATCGTCACTTGCTCGAGACTATGCGTGCTCTCATGTTTCATGCGTCTGTACCCCATCACTACTGGGTTGATACTTTACTCACTGCAGCATACTTAATTAATCGATTACCATCTAGCTTACTCAACAATATTTCACCTTATCAAAAACTGTTCGGTCATGCACCATCCTACCAACACCTTCGGGTGTTTGGCTGCTCTTGTTACCCTTGGATACCTCCAGTTAATCGTCACAAATTTCAACCTCGCGCTCTCCACTGTATCTTCCTTGGCTATGCCACTCACTCCAAAGGATACAGGTGCCTTGATCCTATCACTAATAAAGTTCATATTTCCCGCCATGTTCAATTCTTCGAGCAGCATTTTCCTTTCAAAAACATTCCCTCAACCTCTGTCTCAAATACTACACCTATTACTGTGTCCAATCCTCTAATTCTTTTACCCAATCCACTTCCAATTCCCTCCACTAAACCATCTCAGTTCAACTCTCAGTCATCTGCTCAAAATCAAGCCACTGAAAATCCTCTTTCCGTCTCATCTGAATCTCAATCGCTACCGCATGTCCTAGCTTCGCAATCCTCAGAACATGTTTCCCTACCAGAAATTCAATTTCCCTCAACCCACAACTCTCGCCATCATATGGTGACTCGTCAACAAACAGGTCACTTAAAACCAAAACAGGTTTTTGATCTCCAACATACCATAGTTCCTTCAACTCCCACTTCCTTCACTAAAGCAAATAAGCACTCGGTTTGGCGTGAGGCGATGTCTGCTGAATTTGAGGCGTTAGTTGATCAAGGCACGTGGACTCTTGTTCCACCTCATCCAACTCAAAATCTTCTTGGCTGCAAATGGTTGTATAAATCCAAATTTAACCCAGATGGCACACTGGCTCGGCATAAAGCTCGTTTAGTAGCACAGGGATTCAAACAAGAATTTGGTACAGATTATACTGATACCTTTAGCCCGGTCGCAAAGTTCCCTACTATACGACTTCTTTTCACTGTGGCTGTCACTTATAAATGGCCTACCTTGCATTTAGATGTCTCAAATGCATTTCTTCATGGCCATCTAGATGAACTTGTGTTTATGAAGCAACCGCCCGGGTTTCAAGATCCACAATTTCCCCATTATGTCTGTCGTTTACACAAATCCATCTATGGACTCAAACAATCACCTAGACAATGGTTTTCTCTATTTTCCACCAATCTTCTCAACTACGGATTTGTGCAGAGTAAAGCCGATCCAGCCTTATTTCTCTATCATAAAGGACAGACACAACTTTATCTACTAGCATATGTCGATGATCTTCTACTTACCGGAAGTGATCAACCTGCTCTCGACAACCTGCTGCAGCATCTTC